GTGTTTAATCTGGTTTCAGTTATAATCAAATGTTGCATATCCTGTGTACTTACTTGTTAAGCTTCTGAGTTCTCAACCCTGCTCTCTGTTGGGTACTGCACTATGGTTTAAGTATAAAGGGACACTATTTCCTCCATAATTGGCCATGGAAAAAAAATTATTTTCAATATTATCTTTGTAGTATGTGTAAACTAATAATGAACATTAGTGTATTAGCGTGTAGTTTGGACATAATGTTAAAATTTTAAGTTTTTCAAGTTTAAATTCTGTTCCATTAACCTTGACTTTGGGATTGGGGAGACCAAGGGATTTAGAGGCGGCAATTGAGTGAAACATTTTATCTAAGTCTTTGGCAAAACAAGTGTCTTGTGGAATATACATTTCTTCACTGGAAATGTAAGAAAGGGGTGAGCTGAGGAACATAAACCCAGTGTGGCATTTTGTGATAATGGTGAGATAAATATAGCCACCACTTAACAGGATACTCTCTGGCTAGACATTGCACCAGGCACATTCCAACATCTCATTTAATCCTCAGAATCTTAGGAGTTTTCTTTTTACAAACAAAACTAAGCTCAAAGAAGTTAAGTGACTTGCTCAAGGTTACCCATTTAGTGTTGGACCCCGATCTGTCTCTGTAGGACCTTATGAAGAGACTTCATAAGGTTGTATTGACTGTTGGCAACACGGCCAAAGACCAGTCCAGCCAGCATGGCTTGTGCACAGCTTTAACCATTCCACCTTTTATACTGCCCTTGGACAAATCACTGCGTCTCTTCCTCTGACTTCATGCCAAAGGGAGTAATACTTTCACCACTTCTACCTCCTGAACCTATGAGGAGCCTCTAGTGTTATCCAATAGGAAACTTTGCATGTTAAAATAGGTAATATTTTGTTCTGCAGAACTATCTAGCATTGTAGCATGTCTGACCTCTAGGGTACTAAAAATCAGAAGCACAACCCACTCACTTCATTGGTATATCAGGTAGTCCCAGACATTTTCAGAGGCCCCTTATTGGATGGCATTGCCTCAAGGTTGGAACTACTAAGTGTGGGAATAGGAGACACTAATGTTTCCCTATCTCCCAAAACATGTAAACCAATGTATTACTTGGATGGCCTATAAGCCACCTCAAGAGTATAATTCTTATTTTGACTGAAAGTCCTCCACAACTTACTGGCTGGGTGACCTTGAACAAAGTAGCTAAACATGGAGCCTCGGTTTGGCCTGTGAGTGGGGATGAAGTTTACTTTAGAGCAGTAGGCTGTAGTGCAGAGGCAGGTGTTCCTTCCTGGACTTCTCCATCTCCTCCCCTGTTCCTCTTGGCTCTGAGAACATGCTGAGCTTCTTGCCTGCCACAAGGTTAAGGAGCAAGGAGGTGTCAAGAAGTGAAGGCAGCCGAAACCGGTTTGACTCAATGGATAGAGGGTCGGCTTGGGGAATGAAAGGTCCCAGGTTCAATTCCGGTCAAGGGCATATACCTTGGTTGCGGGCATATCCCCAGTAGGGGGTGTGCAAGAGGCAGCTGATCGATGATTCTCTCATCGATGTTTCTAACTATCTCCCTTCCTCTCTGACAAATTCAATAAAATATATTTTTTAAATAAATAAAAAATTAGTTTAAAAAAAAAAAAGTGAAGGCAGCTGAAACCGGTTTGGCTCAATGGATAGAGCGTCAGCCTGCAGACTGAAAGGTCCCAGATTCGATTCCGGTCAAGGGCATGTACCTTGGTTGTGGGCACATCCTCAGTAGGGGGTGTGCAAGAGGCAGCTGATCGATGATTCTCATCGATGTTTCTAACTCTATCCCTCTTCTTCTCTGTGAAAAATCATAAAATATATTTTAAAAAAAAAAAGTGTAGGCAGTCAAAACCGGTTTGGCTCAGTGGATAGAGTGTCGACCTGCAGACTGAAAGGTCCCGGGTTTGATTCCGGTCAAAGCATGTACATTGGTTGGGAGTATATCCCTGGTGGGGAGTGTGCAGGAGGCAACTGGTCGATGTTTCTCTCTCATCGATGTTTCTGGCTCTCTATCCCTCTCTCTTTCTCTCTGTAAAAAATCAATAAAATATATTTTAAAAAGAAAAAAAAATGAAGGCAGTGGGGAGAGCTTGAGTCCCAGCCTCAGTGTAATCATCTTTGATGGCACAAATGGAGAGGTAGGTACTAGTCCCCTGGCGGGATACATTGGTGACTTTACAATTTTGTAATGGAGAATTTTTTTCCCCTCTTTTTCTTCACACCTTAAGATTTTGGTTTTATTAAATGTGAAATATATGTCTTGGCTATTTTGTAATATCTTGTATATTAAGACCTCAAGAATTTGTAGAAGCTAATTCCATTAAACTAAAAAATGTTAAACTCAAATAAACCAGCTCAATTTCAGGCATCTGAAAGCTTATTTACCAAAAAAAAGTTAAAATGTTCTATTTTCATAATTGTGATGGTGTTTTAACCACTTTGAAGTTGTTTGAGAGCCCTGGGCCACCAGGCAATACAGACACTGGGGAAGCAGAAACCAGGGTTTAGACACTGCAGAAGTGGCGATGTGTAGTTAAGCAGCAGCCCTGGTGCAACTGAGCATAATCCTTACCAGCATGCTGTTCTCAGAGTGTCAAAGAGAAGGGAGATTAAAAATGGCCACAGAGCAAGTGGATGCTACAGACAAGGTGCCAGGACCAAACTGGAATTTCAACTGAATTACAAAAAAATCATCCTAAACCTAGTGCTCAGAAGGTTTCCTGTGCTGAGTCATTCCCTCACACTGCCATCTTAGGTAGACCTTTGCTCTGCAGGCTGTTTTTTCTGGGGGGTGAAGGGGAGACAGTTGTTCAGTCCTATTGGAAAACATCTTGCCCCCACAGTGTGGAGTTTCTGAAGCCTATTAAAAGACTGAGAATGGCAATTAGCCTCCAGGCAGAAACAATTGCCCCACCCTATTGGACAACCTCACCACACCTGAGGATGACTGCAGGCTCCTTAAGAGTTAATTCAATCAGCTGAGACTGGTTTGGCTCAATGGGTACAACGTGGGCTTGGGGACTGAAAGGTCCCGGGTTTGATTCCGGTCGAGGGCATGTACCTTGGTTGTGGGCATTTCCCCAGTGGGGGGTGTGCTAGAGGCAGCTGATCGATGACTCTCTCTCATTGATGTTTCTAACTCTCTATCTCTCTCCCTTCCTCTCTGTACAAAATCAATAAAATATATTTTTAAAAAAGAGTTAATTCAATCAGTGTATAGACCGAGACTGGTCTTATTTGCCTGATCTCATTAGTCAGAAACAGTGTTTGACATTGTCCTGTAGAGATTGAAAGGCGTAGATTTACCTAACACATAGCCACAAACCCTAACAGGCAGCCAAATGGGCAAAAAACAAAACAAAACAAAAAACCACCCTCCATTAAAGAACAAAAGAATTCTCCAGAAGAACAAATAAATTAAATGGAGATAAGTAACTTACCTAATATGGAGTTTAGAATGATGGTAAAAAATGCTCAACATCATGAGAAAAGATATACTGAATGCAGTCCAAAATATAGGCTGATATAGCACTAATAAAGAACACACTGGGAGGATACACAGATTAGGAAAAGCTGAGGATTGGATCAGTATATTAATATTAGAAGATAGGGTGGGGGGAAAAGTCACTCAATGAGAGAACCAAAAATTAAAAAAAAAACAAAAAAAAAAAACCAGAAACAGGGACTGTTTAATGTACAAAAATTCCTTACCAGGGTGCTGTCCTCTAATTGACCACAACAGGGTACTAATGAGCCTAATCTCTTATTAGGAATGCTATTATCAGACTGCTCATAGAGGGCGCTATGGAGCCAAGTCCCTAACTAGGGTGCTGTTCTCAGAATGCCCACAGAGGGCGCCAATGAGCCTACTTACTAACTAGGATTCTGTTCTCTAGAATGACTACAGGTGGGTACTATTGAGCCTAACTCCTTACTAGGGTGCTGTTCTCTAAATGAATTCTACCTGGTTTTCTTTGGTTCCTAGATTCTGTCATGTAAAAGGAAAACCAGGCTGCCCTGCCTCACAGCCTGGGATGGGAGCTAAGGTTTTCACTCTCTCCAGAGTTTCTGCCTTACTTGTTGAGGCCAGAATTTCAGTGCTTATGGAGGGGGTCAGCTCCATCCTGCACCCAGTCTTCTCGTCAGGATCTCCGCACTCACTAGGAGGAATAAAAACTTTTTCCTCCAAACCCCAGATTTCTTTTGAACTGCTTTCACCTTTAAACTTTCAGACTCTTAACACTCCATAAACCACATTCCCACAGGAGTTTGCCTTCCACCAAAAGCAGGTAATGAGTACACCCTCCCTGCTGGACAGTCTCTCTGCCACCCCTGCATAGCCCTACCCTTCTCTTTCTCTAGTTCGGATAGCAGTGGTCTGCAAACCGTGCAGTTTGCCACTGTTGACTCATGAGTTTGCCGACCTCTGCTAGGGAAAAACACTTAGAAGACATTTTAATAATGTACTAATGTCTTTAACATCAAGTCAAAACTTCTGGGTAAGGGCAATACTTTATGCAGTGGTCGGCAAACTCATTAGTCAACAGAGCAGCAAACCACTGCTCAAGAGCCGAAGTTTGCTGACCACTGGGATATAGCATCAGCTAAATAAGTGAATAAATGAATGAATGAATGCAGACCCTTTTTTACTGGGACTGGGGGCAAGATGAAGAGAAAACTGAAAGGAGACATATTTGCTCACAGAATTGAAGCTCATTCTCCTAGTTTTTTAGCAACACAGTAAAGAGAACAATTTAATAATAATAATTTTTAAAAAGATGGATGAGTTCAAAGCAGCTCCAGTGAGAGATGCAGCTTACTCTTTGGGCTGGCCGAGCTCCCAGAGACAGCCGTGCGACCCCTGGGCACAGCCTGCTCTGTAGCTCTGTGATCACAGATCTGCCTCTAGGCCCTTTCCGGGCCCCGTGGTTCACACCCAGCGGTCTCCTCGCCTCTTCTCCCACTCGTTCGTTTTCAGAGGCTCTCATTATAGTGGGACTCTGTTCCCAGAAGCAAACACGTAGCCCGCCGGATCCGTGGGTTATAAACATGAACAATATGACAAAGACATGAGGCTCTGCAGGCCCGGCATCCACAGTGGCTGAGATGGGCTCGGTGCCTTGTCTGGAGCGGATGCTCACCCCACATTCCAAAGGAACTTCTTGGCCCAAGAGATGAAGAATAAGGACAATAGAGCGGCACCGAAGATGGCAAGCATCAGGTAGGCAAGGATCGGGAGCCCGGGGTCCTGCACACACTGCCTCAGAGTGCGGAAGGTGGGGATGCCATGGGACCCACGGGTGGTGGTGGCAGGGGCCACGGCCTGGGGGCCCTCGGTCTGGCTTCCGGGCTCCCTGTCTATGTCTAGCGTACAGACCTGGAGCTGGCGCAGGAAGCAGCGGCTCTCGGGCTGGGCCTTGAGACAGAGCTGGTGGCCCTCCAGGGTGATGGGGAGGGGCTCCAGGCAGAGCAGGGTGAGCATGGCAGTGTCCGTGGGCAAGTCAGTGACAGGCCGCCCGGAGGCCAGCACGGTGGGCTGGCGGCAGATGGGGCACGGCAGCCCGTGCTGGGCGGGAGTCACCAGGCGGAGGTGGGCCAGGCATTCCACGCAGAAGGAGTGGCAGCAGTCCAGCACTTTGGGAGTGTGGAACGTGTTGTTGAAGGGGTTCCAGCAGACAGGGCACTCGGGCTCCCCGGCCTGCAGCTCAGCCATCCTCAGAGCAGATGCCAGGAGCCCTGGCAAGAGACATCCGGGCAGGAAGAGAAAAGGAGAGAAGGAACACACCTTAAGCTCTGCCCCCCTGTGCGTGGTCCTAGTAGGGTAGTGGTCGGCAAATGGCGGCTCCAGAGCCACATGCGGCTCTTTGGCCCCTTGAGTGCGGGCGTGCACATATACCGTGTTTCCCCGAAAATAAGACATTCTCTGAAAAATAAGACCGAGTGCAACTTTGGGAGAAAAAAATTAATATAAGACACTGTCTTATTTTCGGGGAAACAGGGTAGTGCGATTGAAACTTCGTGGCCCATGGGAAGAAGTCGGTTTTTGGCCTGGGCGAGTCTATTTTGAAGAAGTGGCGTTAGAACACACAGGGGGCCTAAGAGCCACATGTGGCTCGCGAGCCACGGTTTGCCAACCACTGTCCCAGGGTAGAAGTGGTCTGTGGATTGTTAAAAGGTATTATTGGAGAACATTATGTTGAGTGAAATAAGTCAGTCAATGAAAGAAAACACCACACGCCCTCACTCACTTATGGATAATAAAGAACATTATAAACTGATGGACAAAAAGATAGACACGGAGACAGTAAAGCAACAAGCAGACTGTCAAATCACAGCGGGAGGGGAGGGAGATCTGGGGGAGCTAAGAGATCAACCGAAGGACTTGTATGCATGCAGATAAGCATAACCAATGGATGCAAAACTCTGGGGAGGGAGGGCATGTTTGGGAGTGGGTGGGGGAGAATTGGTAAGATATGCACACATGTAATACCTTAATAAAAAAATGAAAAATAAATAAAAATTTTAAAAAAGGGATTATCACCCACATTTCACAGATGAAAAAACTTAGGTTCAAAGAGACGAAGCCATCTGTTCCAGATCACCCAGTCCTAACCTATAGTTAGGTCTGGTGCTTCCATAGTGTCCCTTCTATCGGGGCGAAGGCCCGAGCCACCCCATCGTTAATGAGCTGCCACCCGAGGAGAATGCACGCCAGCCTGGGAAATGGATAAAAGTGCCCCTTACGCTCCCTGTGATTGCCCTTGGCTTCTCAGACTCCAGGGAGGAGGGCAGCCGCAGTCAGCCAGCGGTTTGTGCCAGAGATCTACTGCATCCTTCCCTACTCATCCTTCCCTGCCTGCTGCAGCCTGGCCTCCTCTGGGAACAAATGCCAGGCCTCTATCCCTCCTCCCCCTTGGGGTTCAGGGCCAGCGCCCGCTCTTTTTCCCCTTGACCAGGCGGCTTGGGGGCTCCCCTGCACAGGCCCCTAGGTCAGCCTGGCAGAGCCTCCGCCCAACGTGGCCTCCCCTGGCTCCTCCTCCCTCCCTTTGTCCTGGAAAACCCCCAGGGCACCCACCTGGGCTTCAGTGGGTCAGCAGATTACCCTGATGGCCTGAGGCTCCAATCTCTCCTCTCCCGAACCCACAAAGCTTGGGGAGAGCCTTCTCCCCGCCAGCCCTAGGGCCCATCTCCATGGCAGCACACACGCAGCACCAGGACCTGCCAGGTGGCCTGGGCGCAACCTCTTGAGCACACCTGCCTGCGGAGAAGGCCAGAGAGCCGCCCAGTGGAGGTGGGGTGGGGCGGAGGGGACTAGAGTTCCCCTAGGCTAGGGTTTGGCAAACAACCAACCCTGGAAGCCAAGTGCCTTCAAGACCTAGGATCCCGGCCTGGGAAGGCGGGGTGGCAGTTTCCTTGTTCTAGAGTGTGGAGAGGGTACAGGAGCCTCCCAGGCTTCCTCCCTCCTGGGCCCTCATTCTTTTCTAAAATGGCTGACACCTCCTCCCACACAGGCTGCCTGCCCTGCCCTTCAGTTGCTGTGAAATTCACCTGCTTACCCAACCTAAAAACTCTGACATCAGACTCTGCAAGTCCCCTCCGGTCCCCTTACCACTGATTGTGCTCAGGAGGCTGTGGCGGGGACCCAGCCAGCCAGCCTGGCCTGGCTACGTGCCAATGTCTCAGTCCGAGGCTGGCCATCCCACCCCCTGGAGACATAAAAGGGGAGTCAGGAAGGCAGTCTTAGCCCTGCTTCCCCATTTAAACAGTAAACAATGAGCTTTTCTCCTGCTGGTTATTTGAAGACGTTGAAGAAGTGAGCTGCTGAGTAGGAAAAAACCGTTTAAAAACCCCTTTCTGGCCCTAGTCCGTTTGGCAGAGGGGGTAGGGCGTCAGCCTGGGAACTGAAAGGTCCTGGGTTCGATACAGGTCAAGGGCACATGTCTTGGTTGCGGGCTCCATCCCCAGTATGGGGCGTGGAGAAGGCAGCCAATCAATGATTCTCTTGACTGAAATGAAACCTGGGACGACCCTTCAGTCCGCAGGCTGATTCTCTATCCACTGAGCCAAACTGGCTAGGGCTGTATGTTTCTAGTTAAACAATCTTTTCCGGAAACCCCAGCTCTGCTACAGTAAACTTGTACTATTACTCTCCCCCCAAAAGCCGACCTCTACTTCTGAAGGCCCGTGGCCAAGCTGTAACGATCACTGTTCCCTGAACATCCTAGCCCTTCTCTGCCGTGGCGCCCTCAGACATCCACTGCTGTTTCAGAGTCAGCTGGTCAGACTGCAGCCTCTCCAGGAGGACTCTGGCCGAGTGTCCACCCACCACTCACATCCACGCCAGGACATCCCAGCTACATCAAGTCCTAAACATGACCCAGAGGCATCACTTCTGTCTTCGACCAAGTCGGTTTGCCAAATACTAATTGTCTGTAGCATCACACCCCCCCCCCCCCCCCCCCCGTTTTCACCCTCAAGAGAGGGCATTCTTTTTTTAGCACTTCACAGCTTACAAAGAGCCCCATTCCTTGCTAGGACCTAAGTGTAGCGACTCACGTTTAGATGGTATGAATGCCTGCTACAATTTTTTCCCATTGGCGTAAGGCCATTTGGGTCTTTAAAAGCACCAGTGGGAAGAAGGTAGGATAGGAAGGAGAAAGTGCAGATTTTAGAACCAGACTTTTTTGTTATGAGGTCTCGGACTAATGGCCTAACCCTCTGAGCCTATTTTCCTCTGTAAAGTGGGCTAATAATCCCACCTTACAGAGTGGCTGTGAGAAGGGACAATGTCTATAACTTGCCCACCAAGGCACGGCAAGTGCTCAATACACAGTATAATATTTTTTCTAAAAATATGTTTTATTTCAAAGAGGAAGGGAGAGGGAGAGAGAGAGAGATTAAAACATCAGTGATGAGCCAAAACCGGTTTGGCTCAGTGGATAGAGCGTCGGCCTGCGGGCTGAGGGGTCCCAGGTTCGATTCCAGTCAAGGGCATGTATGTTGTTTGCTGGCACATCCCTGGTGGAGGGTGTGCAGGAGGCAGCTGATCATGTTTCCCTCTCATCAATGTTTCTAACTCTCTAACCCTCTCCCTTTCTCTCTGTAAAAAATATAATCGATAAAATATATTTAGAAAAACAAACAAACAAAAATCAATGATGAGAGAGAATCACTGATCAGATGCCTCCTGCACACCCCACACTGGGGATCAAGCCCACAACCAGAGCATGTCCTGACCAGAAATCAAACCATGACCTCCTGGTTCATAGGTTGATGCTCAATTACTGAGCCATGCTGGCTGGGCCATAGTGTGATATTTTATACCCATTTAATAGAGGGAGAAGCCAAGCCACAGAATGATGAAGCGACTTGCCCACCACTAAAAAACGGCTGAGCTTGAAAGATGATCCCTGGAGCCCTGCCTCCCGGCCATTGTTCAGCGGGATTGTGTGCTCAGGACTCCAGGGCACTGTGACCCAGACCTCCACGACCCCCTCTGGCTCCTTACCTGTCCCTCAGAGCCTCCTCCTCCACCTCCTTTCCCCAGTGCAGCTCTGCAGCAGGTCCCGGACTTCTCCTAGGTAGTTTCCAGGCAGTGGTGGGTGGGCCTCAGGCAGCTCCGGGCCAGCTCTCTCTGTTTCAGCTTCCTCTTCCTTCTGATGACTTTGGACTATCTGCTCACAGAGGATCTCCTGGAAGCTTTGATTTTTATCTTCCCCCCAGTGGGCCGTGGACAAAAGGGGCCACATGCTAACCTGACAACTTGAAGGAAGGCCTGCATGGCGGTCTTGCAAAGCCAGAGACCCAAAGGAACCACGAAGGATGCTCTAATATTAAACTTTAACTAAAAGCAGTTCTGGTGGATAGTTACATCCTAGACTGTTATCTTCCCTGGCAAGGTCAACCTTTACCTTAACTGAGCCTATCTGTCTTTTTGCATCTAGGATAACACACCCTTGAAATGTCTAGGTAACTGGTAACTTCCCTTTTTCTGGACCCCTCTGGGCACAACCTGATGTGCCTGGGCTTCAGGACAGATACCACAAATTCCTTCCTTATTATCTGCACCCACCTAAGTAAGTGTCTATCAGTTTACTTTGGATCTATCCAATAATTCCGAGTGCATCTCTGACTGCACTTGTCCTCTATGTGCTGACCAATCGCCTCCAGCCCAACCCCGCCACACACACTTTGCTTTCTCCCCACCTCTCTAGTCTATCACCAATGGATTTCTTGTAACCTACCTTCATCCCCTCCTTTGATTATAATGTATAAAAATAGATTTTAAAAAAACCTTCATTCTCTGGAGCATTATCCCAATCCCTTCAGATTTTGCTTTCTGGCAATTTGTCATCAGTTTGGTTCAAATAAACTCACAAAATTTTTTTTTACAGATTTTAATGTTTTTACAGGCACTTGTAAAACAAAATGTACATGTATGAAGGCCATGAGGTAAAAGTTAAAAGTAGTTATCTCTGGGTGATGAGCTTCCTGGTGGTACCTTTTTTAATCTTTGAATCTGTATTTTCTAAATTTCCATTAATAAATAGGTATTACTTTTGCAATAAGAAAACTCTCTTTTTAAAAAAATATATTTTATTGATTGTTTTACAGAGAGGAAGGGAGAGTTAGAAACATTGATCAGCTATCTCCTTCATGCCCCCTACTGGAGATGTGCCCACAACCAAAGTACATGCCCTTGACCGGAATCAAACCTGGGACCTTTCAGTCCATAGGCCAAGGCTCTATGCACGGAGCCAAACCCGTTAGGGCAAGAAAATTCTCTTGAAAAGTAAATCTGTAGAGCATGGAATCTCAGAGGGAAGACAGGGGAGGGTGGGTGGGTGGGAAGTAATCAATCAAGAACCTTGTATGCATATACTGTATGTATGGCCCTTGGCCCCAGACATGGGGGTGGTGAGTGCCTGGGGGGAAGGGGGGAGGGAGTCAATGGGGGAAATAAGGGGACATATGTAATACTTTCAACAATAAAGAATTAATTTAAAAATTATTTTAAATCAATGCAATACACGGTAAAAACAAAAAAGTAAGTAAACCTGAGTTTTCTGCAAAAGGGAATCTAGAACTTAAAAAGAAAGCAGGGAGAA